TTTTTCCAGCGATCCGCGGTGCCTGGTAGAGGCTAAGTGCTGTGTGTCCCATTGGAAATAACAAGGTAAAAGGGTGCAATCAAATCTCGGAGTCAATTAAGTATAACTGGTGTGGGGGGCGTAACATCACAACTGACAAACCTGTTACTACCACTGCCTGCTAATTGGTTAATTGCTAGATAAATAAAGGCACCAGAAAAGGTAATATGGGGCTTGATAGTTAGCCTCTACCAGGCACTGCGGATCGCTGGAAAAATAGTAGATTTTAGCAAATCGGAGCTTCTATGGATGGCCCTGGATCTTCTCTGGTATACTATCCCTTTATTTCGGCCAATTTCTACTATTTTTCCAGTGATCCGCGGTGCCTGGTAGAGGCAACATGATAGTAGTTCTCCATACTTCCTAGTATTTTATGTTTGTTATTGGCTAACCAGTAGCTCCTAAAAAGTAGAAAAATCTATAAAGATACATGTAATTCTAATGGAGCATAAAGTACTTCACGATCAAAGTAGAAGTGGTTGAATTTGACAACTATTTTTTACAAAATGGAACAATACATTTGTTTTGGATTTTTATTGAAAGTGATGTTTTTATTGCTGAGAAATTCATCACCTTCTATCATTCCAATTTATTATCAGTCAGGTGCGATTTCATTATCAATGGCCCATGAAATTTTACAGCAGTGGTAACAAGTGGCTGTGGTGCTAATGGTAATCTCTAATCAGAAGTTGGGAGGCAAAAATTATAATTTTAGCACTGCACACCAACCGATTAGGCCAAAAGGGTCAAGGACCCATTGGGCAGGGCAGTTAGACATATTGACGCCTATATACTCGTTGTCACACATTTTCCTTGCTCCCAACATTTCTCTTACACGAAAGGCTGGAAGAGTACTAAAAGTAACTACCTGAAACGTGCAGCTACTAAGGAAAACGTAACAGCTTTGCCTCGCAACGTCTGCTTGGAGATTAGGGGTAGCAAGGGGTTGGCTAGCGAGGGGCGGCGGTCACAACCTCACGTCAGTTTCTGCAACAACCCTCCATTTCACAAACAAGGGTGGGGGGAGGGGGCATCACACTTTCCACGACCTCTCGTACAACTGTGTTTACTTTGAGTTTTTGTTCTGTTAAGGTTTGCAAGCTCCAAGCTATGCTTATGACCAAAACGGAGCAGCAAAATTATGTTGACGACCTCGGGTCATCACGCAGTCAACAGTTGTACCAGTTTCTTCGAAAACATCTTCGTCACCTTTGGTTGGACGCTTCTATACGTCAAAAGGGGGGCTGGGCAGTTTACTGGCTAACAGAACTACGTTTGTCGCTGCTTCAGAGAAACCACAGCGAGTCCTAGACGTAGCTGTGTCTCCGTGACCCACATGGGGTCGGTGGAAGTTCGTGAGAGAGCAAAGGGACAGGCCCGGAGCGGAATTTGTTTACAGAACTCACCTTCCAAAACGACCTCCTTGCCGGCCCTCTTGAGAGCGCGTACGGCCTCATCGTGCGTCGCGTCTCGCAGGTCCTCCCCGTTGACCGACAGGATGGCATCCCCGACGTATAGACTCTCCGTCTGGTCCGCCGCGAGCCCCTTGAAGATCTTGGAGATGAGGATGGGCATCTTGTTTTCTTTCCCGCCCTTGATGGAGATCCCCAGGCCGCCGACGTCCTGCTTGATCACCTTCACCACACGTTTGTGGTTGGCGATCGACTCCGGGAGCTGGTCGTGGTCGAACTCGGAATTCCGGATGGCGTCGCCGTTCTGGTCGCCGCCGCCCACGGAATCCTCTAGACTGATTGTCAGGGTTTCCTCCTCTAAAGACACGAGGACGCGGCACCAGCGGTCGCGGACGTAGACCTCCAGGAGGCCGGATCTTGTCATGGCCGAGGCGGCGGTGGTGAGCGCCATGTTGGCTCGATCAGCCTGACTGGAGTTCCGCTCGAAAATCTCGTCAGGCGGGGGAACGTCACGTGACCGCGTGGCCGGGCCGAAGGGAGGAGGGGCACTTCCGGGACGGACGGACGGAGTTTTTTTTACGGAAACGTAAAAACAAAGTCGATTTTCACGGATAAACTTTCGAGAAAAGAAAAACTTAAGAAGAAACTAAATCTCGGCACAACAGGATGAATATATTTCCCACAAGTTAAATATTTATTTTGGAAAGCTAACTTTTTTTAGGGTTTACAAAAAATGCAAAACAAACGTAAAACCCAAAACAAAGTCAATTTTCTCTGATAAACTTTTTGTCTATAATTTGTAGGAGAAAAAAAATAGAAAGAAATGATATGTTGGTAACGTTACAACGGGATACAAGTAAATGTATCAATTTGAAATGAGAGTATAAAACGAATGGCATTGACGTTTCTATCAAAGCTTAGATAGAACGGAAAAAATCGCATTCATTTTGAAACTAGAGAGACCAAGTATGATAAGCTTCATATGGCCATACAACATACGAGAGGTTGAACCGGTACATATTAGTTATAGTTTTAGTAAGGTGTTCCTTGTAATTTGTACTTCTGCCTTATTCATCACCAGAACGTAGTTTGTAAGAGCATAAACGTACATTCATTCATTCATTCACGCATTCATTCATTCAATCATTTATTCATCACATTCCAGCACCGAACCCTCCATTCTGATTATGTCTTTTTAATTACTAGTAAGCTTTCGTAGTACCTAGCTCAACAGCGCCGCCTAACGACCCAAATAGCATTGCAGGAGAAAACTTTATTCAGTGTCACCACGCAACATACTGTATATTTTACTAGCTACCTGTAACAGTTACAATGATTAAGTGTAAGGTGTACACTATTGTGCATTGGATAAACAGTGTAATTGAGCTCTATACTATACCAGTATACAATACTTCTTGGTGTTGCTGATCACTTTAAAAAAACTTTATTCAGTGTTGTGATCATCACACAAAATATTTTACTACCTGTAACAGCTACAATGATTAAGTGTACACTATTGTGCATTGGATATACAGCGTAGCTATTCTATTCTATTCCATTTTATTTTATTTTATTTTATTTTATTTTTTT